GCATTCAAATAATAAAGTATTCTACATGTAAACCCAAAATTTTCCACTACATTTTAACCATATATTTTTCAAAAAATCACTATTCAAAACTCCATTTTATCAAAATAATAATTGTCAAATAGAACCTAATATGCTTTGTAGTAAAGTTGCTTAAATTAACTTTTGAAGCCCACTTATAAGTTACTTATAAATAATTTACTTTCACTTTCGCTAGTCGATGCATTTCAACTCTTCATGCTCCTAGCTAACAAGTCAACTTGAAATTAAGAAACAATAAACAATAAAATGTGTTGGCATTAGTTTGATTTCTGATGTCGTCTGAAGGCATTGAACTCATGATGGTTGCTAATTTTTTGAGCCATACTACTGATTTCGAGGAAACATTATTGTATTTCAATAAGAATAATGTTATTGTTATTCACTGTAACAGTCGTCTTATGTGCCATACACATATCAAATGTGTATTTAATGGATTAATGTGATCAAAAAACTACCACATTAATATATCAAATAACTACATATCATTTGTGTGTCACATAGGACGACTGCTGCAGTGAGCGACTGCAAGTAGCATTACTCTTACATTACACACACATATTGATTAATTATGTTTTATTTGACGGGCCAGACTTCGATTTTCGAAGCAAATTGCCAAATTCAATAGCTGTTACAGCTCATTATCCCCACATTCTCTTGCTTTGGTTTGTTAATTATTTTAATTAATCAACAAATCCACGTGCATTCACAGCTAACATTCAAAGTCATAAAGTTTGTCTAGCTAAATTATATGCCAAGTAATAGTGAGAAGCAAGCTGACCAAAATGAATAGATTCTAAAGGAATTTCCATTGCCCCACCATAATATCAAAGTTTAAAGTAGAATGGAATTATTATCGAGCATCTTGCTTAGCAGTGTTTACAACTTTCTTTTTTTTTTTCTTTGGCCACAACTGGAAAAAAATATAATGGTACTTGAAGGGAATCATTTAATATAAAGTCTCTTTTTGGGTCCAAACGTGACTCAATGATACAATTGATAAAATTTTATTATGCGTCTCTTTTTCTTGTGCTCTTCATTAATTTCAATCAAACTCTAACAACAATATTATCTATATCAACGTCCAACCATTCACAACAAAATATTAGACCAATGCCGACACAACCGAGTTGGTCGAGGAAAAGGAAACCCCAGAAACCAGGCACTCCTGCTCCCAAAAACGGAGACCTGGGTTGATTCATTACTTGTTACGAAATATTTTCATGTCCTAAGTTAATTTATGGATGACAAAAGATTATAAAATTTCTATTCGGTTAATATATTCAAAGCAATTTAGTAAAAAGTTTATAATTTATGACGCAGCAAAAAATAAGGAATTCAAGCGAAAATCTTAAAAACACAATTTTGGAATCCACCAAACTAAAGAAAATAAACTCACGAAATTTTAATAATGTAAGATGATAAAAAATAATGAATTCACCATTTATTTATAAAGATTTACACTAAAATCTAGTTTAAACAAACTAAAATTATAAAGAATTCAAAATAAATTAAATGACAAAAATAGCACTAAAACTCTAAATGCAGTTTTCGAGTCTTAAACAGATTCAGATGGCCTAAATCCATCGTATTTCAAAGCATAGTGTGTTCTACTCGTTTCATCATTCTCTTTTCTAAATAGTATTATGAGCCCAAATCAGAACTCGACTGTCACACCTGTATTATTGCATTTTTTTTTCCTTTTAGATCAAATTCTTCTATCCATTCACCAATCCATTGAACATCAATCCGTCTATTCAGACAATTTTAACCTAACATTGTCATATGCAGAATTTCTATCATGAAAAGACCCACTCAAGACAATAACATTTGCTATGTTTGACCCAATTAATATTTAATTAAGGTTATGTTAGAATTTGGCGTTAACTGAATAATTTCAACGCACCCAACTAACCTTGTACGAAAGCAAAGTTGAAATTATGAATGTCAATAAAATTTTAATTAATTAAAGTTAAAAAAGAAGGTAATTTTCTAAACTATAATTTTAGAAAGAATTCTTATTAGAGATATTTTATTTTATTCAATTAATTTTTGGTGTGACTGATGACATTTTTTCATCAAAATGGCATACACGCGTGTCTATAGTCTATACTGGGGTATAGTAATTACACTTCATTGTTGAAATGTCATTTTCCAATATTAATTAGTGATTATAATTGACAATTAATTTTAGGGACATCCATTTTCGATAAGACCTTTTGTGTGTTTTCATATAATTTCGGTCGCATCATACAAAAATAACATTCTTAACTACTTGAAATCGAAATTTTGATTTTTCTTACGCTCAAATCAATTGTATTTTTTTTCAAACTGAATGATTTGATCCTATATAGCACGCGCAACCTACATTTAAAAATTTGAGTTATTAATGTCACAATAGCATCTGCACAGTACAAAATGACCTTAATACCTAAGTACTCGAGTAACCGTCTTAGTTTGAGGTTGTGCCCGATGTACACCCACCCAATGGATTACACCTCACTCACATGGAGGGGGGTCCACGAATATTTTATTGTGTGTGAGCCCCCCTCCATGTGAGGGGGTGTAATCCATTATGTAATGGATTATGTACATTTAGACTAATCCTTTAGTTTGACACAACCACTTTTAAAAGCAATCAAGGATAATTTTGATCATCGCAATCAACTGAAGTCTACATTTTTTTTCGTTCAATTTATAAATCAAAAATTTTCTGCAGATTTTTCTAAAGAATTTCCTTCGTGGACCGTTGAAGAAAATGTAAATCAGGGACCTAAGTCACCTAACCCAGCTTCCCACCAATCTTTTTTTTTTCCTGACATGAAAAATCAATGCATTGTACAGAGGACCGTATGCATTCCATCCTGTTACCGCTGAAGACTGACGGCCATTGTATTCACCATTATGAAGATAGAAGCATTTAATTTCGCTTTGTACAGCAAAAAAAAAAAAAGAAAAAAGGAAGCATTTCTTTTCTTTAGTCAGTTCTTTCCATGCAATGGACTAAAGAAGGAATATTACCTTCGGGGGTGGCCGAATTGGTGAATCGGGTGAACGCAGAGACCAAATATCACGAATTCGAATCCCCTACCAACACTTCCTCGATCGAGTCCGTCGCACCGAACTTGTCTAGCACAGTTTACCCCTCTTGTGTGGTTTGTGGGCTACTGCATATGAAACGGAGTTTATCTAGTGCGCACTCACAGTGATCGGGACTCCGTTGATGGGTAGCGGATGTGGGTTCCTATGTAAAAAAAAAAATTATTATGATTTTGACTGAATTTACAAATTATCTATTAATTGTATTCAATCAGAGATTTAGTGGGTAAGCCGCCTTTAGAGATTAATTCATTATAATAATAAAGTAGATAAAGCTGCCGTCAACATTTGGAAAAGAAAAAAGGAGGAAAAAAAAGTTGGCGAACCATTAAGTAGATTCCCTATTGCTCAAAAAGACTATTTTCTACATGATTTTTTTTAAAAGTTATCAACTTGTTTCATAAAATGTCTCTCGTCTCTTGACCATGAACTTGTCGTGGTCTCCTATTCGACCAATTATCTAATTTTTTGGTCGAAGGACGTCATTTAAGTTGTAGCTCTTGTTCAAGAAAAGAACAATAATTTCTCAAAAGGGTTATGGGGTAATGGTACTTACCTTATGTTTGGCAAAGGTCAGCTTATGATTTAACTTGATCGAAATAATAGAGTTTACTGGTAACTTATTATTTACATATTTCGTATAATCCTTGACTTAAAAACACATCAAAAATTTACCAAACGCTCGAAGTGTCCTTGCTTTCTCAAACATAAATTATATTTTATAAAATGCAATACCAAAATGACATAGGGAAGGCTCCTCACCCTCCCTCAATGGTGGGCTAGTTCCAAGAATTGATGTGGAAACTGATAACGAAAGACCAAACGCCTTTAATTTGCTGATAAGGGACTCAAAGTGTGGCTGCTTATATTGAATCCATCAGCAAGTAACACTTTGTTGATGGACTTGAGCCAAGTGCCAAATGATCATTTGGTGGTCCATATCTCATCTTGTCCACTATCACAAGGAAGAGTAAAGCCACTGTATCTTGTACTTCGTGTCTACTGGTAAAACAAAACCCAACTACGTTTTCACTTAAAGATTGGTTTACTGTTTTGTCGTAATGAATTAATAACAATGAATCGAACAAAATGGAAAACCAAAAGATTGATATGTCAATCTAAATTTATTGAAGAACAAAACGACAAACAATACCATTTTGTCGTATACAATTAATAACGAGTCAAACAAAATATTTATATAGTCGATCTAAATTTACTGAATCTAGAACTTAATTGATCGTTAGAGGTAACTGCTAACGACTCGAGGTGTGCAAAAAAATGCATGGATACTAGGACTTTTGGGACTCTAATGAGATGAGTGCTACAGCCAACCAATTTTACAAAGTTTTAATACTTTTGACCTCATACACCTTATACTCATAATCTGTATCTTTATTATGTAAAGAATTTATAATTTAATTCCTGAAATTCAGTCAGATTTTTAGTACCTCAGATCTAAAATACATGAAATCTTAGGATTACTGTAATGTGACATCCCATGTTAATAAAGCCACCAATAATGACAATAATCTAAGTGTCCTTTTGTAAAGTCAATATGATTGCACTGCAAAACTCCTTAACTCCACCTTTGTGTCACCTAGCAAAGATGCTATTCCCCTATACTAATCCTGCTTTCTTGATTATAATACTGATTAAAATCAATGGTATTGATGAGAGCATTAATTATCATTTATTCCATCATTATTTTTATGTTTATCCCATCAGAAAGGTTTGAAGACAGCATATTGGTGACTGAGGGAGTTTGGTAATCTATATATATATTATTTTAAACTAGTTCTCATCATAAATCTCAGTCAATTTTTTCTCTCTCTGTTTAGAGAAATGTGGGATCATTGTGAGAAATCATGACCTTCCAAAGATTTGATTTCATCCATTTATGGTGGTGGAGAATTCTCATAAGTTCTCTCCTTGGAGCACAGTGTTTCGGGCTTAACGATGACGGGCTTCTCTTGCTATCTTTCAAGTACAATATTTTGAGTGATCCATATGGTGCTCTACAGAGCTGGAATTACCATGATCAAACACCATGTTCGTGGAATGGTGTTACCTGTGGCACTCCAGGCTCTGCCGATGCGTATTTACGTGTCACGGGCTTGTCTCTTCCAGATTCAGGGCTTCTTGGTTCAATTCCAGCCACTCTTGGTATGATCCAGCATCTTAGAAATCTAAATCTCTCCAGCAATTCTATTAATGGTTCGATTCCCTCTTCTCTTTTTACCGCTTCTGAGCTTCAAATTCTTGATTTTTCCAACAACGTGATTTCTGGTACACTGCCGGAGCTTGTAGGAAAACTCAATAATCTTCAGGTTTTAAATCTTTCCGACAATGCCATCGCCGGGAACATACCGGAAAATCTAACAACTCTTCAGAATTTAACTTGCATTTCTTTGAGGAATAATTATTTTTTTGGTGCACTTCCTGGTGGGTTTAATTCAGTTCAAGTTTTAGATCTGTCTTCCAACTTGATTAATGGATCATTACCTCCAGATTTTGGAGGCAATAATCTGAGTTACTTTAACGTGTCATTTAACAGACTCTCCGGCAAAATCCCACCGGAATTTGCCACCAAAATTCCTTCTAGTGCAACAATAGATCTTTCATTCAATAATTTGACCGGTCCAATTCCAGAGTCCAACGTTTTCTCTAACCAAGCCACCAAATCATACTCCGGCAATCCTGAATTATGTGGGAAGCCACTGAACAATCCTTGTCCAATTCCATCTTCAATTGCAACTCCGCCAAATACTTCTGCATCACCAGGTTCTCCACCAGCAATCGCCGCCATACCCAAGACCATAGACTCAACTCCGACAACTGCTTCACCAGGCGGCACCACCGCAAGTCCACCACAAGGAAAAAAAAGTGGGCTTAGAACTGGAACTATCCTAGCAATAGTAATTGGAGATGTGGCTGGAATTGGAATCGTAGCACTGATTTTCATGCGCGTATATCATCTGAAGAAAAGGAAAAGGATAGAAGGTACGATAAAAGAAGAGGCAGAAAGTGAAAAAGAGTTTGACTGGGCATCTTCTTCATCTTCCGAGGAAGAATACAACTGGTTAAGAACATGGACTTGTTTGAAGAAACAGAGGCACGCCGAGGATGAAGAAATCCCAAATTCAGACAGCAAGGAGAACGAGGTTCTTTCCGAAGATCAAGAAAATCACCCACCCCAAGAACAGAAAAATGGTTCGCTTGTAACTGTCGATGGCGAAAAGGAGCTAGAATTAGAGACTTTGCTGAAGGCCTCGGCCTACATTTTGGGTGCATCAGGGTCTAGTATAATGTACAAGGCAGTTCTTGAAGATGGCACCACATTGGCAGTCCGCCGAATAGGCGAAAATGGTGTGGAGAGGTTCAGGGATTTCCATAATCAGGTTCGCGTAATTGCTAAATTGGTGCACCCAAATTTGGTTCGGATTCGAGGATTCTATTGGGGCACTGATGAGAAGCTGGTCATCTACGATTTTGTTCCCAATGGCAGCCTGGCTAATGCACGTTACAGTAAGTCCCCTGACCAACTTTGTTCTTGTGACCAATTTTCTTACCAAGAGGATTTGTTTTTTAATTTTCCCTTAAATTATTTTTCTAAGAATTTGCATGTCAGATAACTCAATTTAGCTAATTTCTTTGATTGCTACTGGCCACAAACACGTTCAAGACGTCGTATTTTGATGTAATTCAATGTAAGATAGTGTACATTTTTGCTAACGTAAGCCAGGACCAAGACCAGACGGTGGAGTTGTTGTAACTGAAACCATGGCTTTTAATGCACTGAAATCTGAATCAGCAATCCACCTGAAGTCAACCGTGTATGTAGCTTTTGGTTTTATTTCTTAACCTTGGCCCGTGGTTCATGATAGCGGAATATGCCAAGCATAAGGCGCCAAATGTCGTTTTGTAATTTTTAGTGGTCAATTGCATTGAAAAGGAGTGAATGGCATCTTGATAAATGCTAACTTGCGCGTTTTGGGTTATGATTTCAGGGAAAGTTGGCTCTTCACCTTGCCATTTACCATGGGAAATGCGGCTCAAGATAGCAAAAGGCGTTGCCCGTGGACTGTGTTATATCCATGAGAAGAAGCATGTGCATGGCAACCTCAAGCCCAGCAATATTCTGTTTGGCCCTGATATGGAGCCCAAGATCGGAGATTTTGGGCTCGAAAGGCTTGTAACCGGCGATAACAGTTACAAGGCTGGTGGATCGTCTCGGCATTTTGGTAGCAAGAGGTCCACAACCTCTCGCGAAAGCTTCCAAGATTTTGCTAGTGGGGCTACCCCGAGCCCCAGTCCAAGTGCTGTAGGCGTATCGCCCTATCATGCACCGGAGTCATTGCGAAGTCTCAAACCCAACCCAAAATGGGACGTGTTCTCATTTGGTGTAGTGTTGCTTGAATTACTGACAGGTAAAATCATTGTTTCGGACGAAATGGGCCCGGGCTTAGCACTCGCGGCTACCACATCATCGGTTGAGGAGAAGGGAAAAGTGTTGAGGATGGCTGACGTGCCGATCCGAGCTGACGTGGAGGGAAAAGAGGATGCTTTCTTGGCACTACTAAAATTAGGATACAGTTCCATATCTCCTGTCCCGCAAAAGAGACCATCCATGAAAGAGGTCCTTCAAGCACTCGAGAGGTTTCAAACTAGTTCATTTTCTTCATCATACCATTATGTTCATTAGCAATGATAGATGGACCCAACTGTAGAGATGCGCATGTATGATTGACTGACATGTTCTCAAGTTCTCATTTAGAATAATTGATCATAGATTTTTCCGCTCGTGTTACCGTTTTCTAAGATCCTATATTATCTTTGTCTGACATTCATTACTATACTAGTCGAGCAATGGAATTATATATCATATTTCCCATTCCTAATTTTTTTTATCGAAATCATTTTCTTTAGGTAAGGTGGTCTGATTCTGTCTCAGTACATGACCATCTAGAATTTTCATAATGTTGGTTGACAATAATCAAATAATTGCAACTGCTACAATTTTTTATAACCAAACCTTCTTTGGTCAATGCATCATTTCATTAGGGTATGATTTGAGTGAAGTGGTCGGTCTTATTAAATGATAATAAGAAAAATTATTGAAAAGTCTAATTTCTTGGGTCATCGTTGACCAGAGAAAACGTAGACTTGCCAATAATTTTAACTGAATAGTAAAGGTACCTGTAATATCATAGGTTTTTCCGCTTGTAAATTATTCGTACTACTAATGATCGAGTCTTTTCCACTAAATCGAGATATTGGTTTTATATTGTATGGAGTAGATGATCAATATTAGGGAGTTGAAGTTGGGTCGATTTTAGGCCTACTCGACACGAAATTGTCCAAGTCGATTTGGGTGCATAGATGTCCACATCAATCCAATCCAGTTGCAACAACCAAACCAACCGAAACTAATTCGGTTTGAATATTGTCGATTTGTAATATTGATTTGGTTTTGGGTTCAAGTTAATTAAGAAAAAAAATATTAAATTTAATGAATATTTGGCGAGTTAGTAGGTCACTTTGTCAATTAGTAGTACAACCCTAATTAATAAGAAATTGAAATATAGACTACTTATCGAAAAAGCAATTTGAAAATATTAAAACATTTTATTGATTTTATCAAAATCTACTAAAAACTAATATTTATCAACACCAAATATGGGCTTAATGTTGAATTAAATGTTTCTATTGAAAGGGAAGAGTTCACAAATCAGATTTTAAGTTTCACCAATGCAAAAATCAGGTTTCAAGTTTAAAAAATTCAAACCTTGGGTATTTAGTTAATTAATTAAAAATAATTATTATTTAAATATAATATGTCACAATTTACTTCATTGGTTACGGATCAAAAAATTTAAAGGTCACAAATTTTTATTTGGTCTCAAATAAAAAAAAATTATAGATCACAGTTTATCTATCGATCACATATTTTCAAATTTGTTGGTTACAGATTATCGAATTTTAATGTCACGATTTAATAGTTAGTCACAGAGAATCAAATAGTTGGTCACATACATCCAAACACCCGTCCTCCGAACCCAATCCATCACCAATACTTGGTCACAAATCGACCAAATAATTGGTCCCAGCCGCTCTTTGTCCCATCCATGTCGTCGCCGCCACCTCTACCGCCACAACCACCACCAACAATAACACCAACAACACACCACCATCCAAACCACCACTGTCGTTGCCTACACAGCACCACCAACATCGTCGCCCCGTCACCTCACCACCTCGCCACTGTACCGTACCGCACCTCACCATCGCTGCAGTCACAACAACGATCGTAAACCACACCAAAACCTCCGCCATCGACCACCACAAATCACAACTCTACACATCTGTGCAAAGAAATTAAGGTAGTGTTTGACACCCTTTTTGTAGAAGAATAAATTCTGGAATAGTGATTGATGGGAAAATTGTGTGGTTAAAAAGTAAGAAGAATTTTTTGGTTTATGTGTAATATTATTTTATTGATAGAGTGTATGGTTGAAATGAAAAAAGAGAAAGAGAATAAAAAGGAGAATGGATGTCAAACAGGGGCTAAACTAAATCACTCACAGTAGTCAAAGCTCTTTAAGGTACCTGCTTCCTCCTCCTTTCCTTCTCTAACATTTTGCTTATTTTTCCACTAAGAAAATGACCAAACACTCCAAAATATCAATGAAGAAATTTCTTTGATGTGCCTTGTATTGTTTTACTTCAACAAATTCTTTACGTTTAAGTTACAAGGGGCCAGCACCCTGTGATAGGTGGGTGGCCATGTACGTATAACAAGGCTCTTTTATTTCAATACCAAGAGATCGATCACAATAAATAATAATTGATTAGGATTGATAGAGCACCGTAAGGGTTTTAATATAGTACCTGATTTTTGAATCAATAAACTTTAGATCTGAGTTTTAAAAAGCAATCTTTAAACACGTAGATTTAAGTAATTTTTCCATTTATAAAGTGTGTTGTCATTTGCAGTTCCAATTGAAAAACAGGGCAATTACATAAATACACTAAAAAGTAGGACGGTTTTGAAAAATCATTCTAAGAGAGGGCTTACAACATAAATACTGTTAAAATGTTTAAAAACCTTATTAATTACGGTTTTTAAGTGAATTATCGAAGCCTAATCTACCAGCTCTCTATCTTCTTTACATCTTTCATTAATTCAATGTAAGTAAGTTCTTCTTCAATTTTAACATAAGTTTAAAAGTTTCTTATCTAATTTAAGGTATTATAATAAATTTTAATTCCTCTTCTTCAATATTAAGATCATTTGATGCTCGTTTTACATAAATTTTGAAAGTAATAGTCAAAATTAGCAATTTCAAGTTGAACAAGCTCCCACTTAAAAGTCTAATCATCTTAATGCATTGTCTACGTCACTTTTATGTGAATTTTATGATTAGTTTGAGCCTTATACTATAAATAATTGGCTTTTATGATGTTTCTTATTTGATTCTTGTTAGGGAATTATTGAGAGCAATTATCCAAGGCCCAAGCCCACACCACCAGGCCCAAGTGAGGTATTATCCCAAAACCAATTGGCAATGGGTGGAGTAGCCAACTTGGAGTATATAGCAATTATCCAAGGCCCAAGCCCACACCACCAGGTCCAAGTGAGGTTCCATCCCAAAACCAATTGGTAATGGGTGGAGTAGCCCACTTGGATTATATGGTGGATTTCGTTTCTTCTCTCAACCGATGTGGGACGTCTTGTTTGCTCCCAACAATTCTTTTGTTAGTGTAACTGGAAAATATTTAAAAATAGCATTGTTGATCTTAAGAGCAAAAGGATTAGGTTAATACATATGAAAAATTTAACTTCGAATCGATTCAATTGAAGCATGCAATGTGTTTGAGAAAATGATTTTGTTAAAAATGTGACATAATGTCACTTTTTTAAAAGTACTATTTCAAGCTTTTCAACTAATCAATCCAACCTTGGAGAGCTACTTTTGCTAAAACTCAAGCAATTACTTAGGAATAACATGATATTTTTGTATTCGTAGCATGTGGGGAATCGAAAAATAGTAGACAAAAAGTGACGGTGTCACTTTTGTTTTGACGTGTTTACATAAAGTGACAAAGTGACAATATGATAATAAACACGTATAATCAAGTAACAGAGTATTACAAATTCTTGTTATTATTGTTGTTGTTTATAAACCATGCCTTGAAGATGTGAAATGCTTTTGGCAAGTTTTTCACCAAAAAAGTCGTATTATTCTTGAATGCTTGATATTTTAGGAAATCCCAATATGGTGGAAGTCGTATTATTCGGATTCTTTGGAGGCATGGACAATATACGAGCTTGTGACATCTTAGGTGGACGATAAGAAGGAACCAATAGAAGTGCCTAGCCTTGGTGATATTCCATTAAATGATTACCTTAAAAGTTTTTGTTAAATGATTACATTAAGAGTTTCCTAGGCTTCATTAAAAAAGTGATATTGTGTCACTTTTTGCTGAAAAAAAGTGTTGTTCGTCCTGAAATAGATGAACAAGTGTTACGTGTGAAGAATAATGAACATGAATCTATTGTCATTCAGGACAAAGGTACGATGAGTATTGAAAATAAGAATGATTTATTTCATTCAAAAACTAATCATTACATAACGGTTAACTCGAAGAATGATGTTCAAGATCTAGAGATTATAGGACGTTAAGTAGTATCAAATGCCTAATGATTATATTCTTCCTTCCTAGCAACTAGAATACTAACATCTAACTGCAGCCAGAATAAGAAACTCAAAACTAAAGTAACGGATTGCGTCTTCTTTTGCGATGCTTCTGGGTATCACTTATAATTGGTGGTCAATATACAAAAGAGAATGTATAAGCATAAGAGAATTTCACGAGCGGTCTCTAGCAACCTGTCCAATGGAGAGTTCCTCGTTATGAATTCTATTTACTAAAAGGCACGAATGCAACAGTAGTATCACCAGCAACTGTCTGGCTATTTCCTGCCATTTTTGCAACAGTATCACTGTTGACCTCGAAAAATGGCTCGGACACGTGGCCAACAGGATAGGTCTTCAAGTCAGCTCCTTCTGCACACGTAGCACGCCGTCAGTCACTTGTGGCCTCTCCCTGAGAGGGTGGGAGCGGCCGCAAGCACTCCGACGGTCAAGTCAGCTTATATTCGACCGGTAAGGGTTTCACCGGCGGTAGAACACTCGTCGGGAAGGTGGTCGATAAAGCGTCGGTAATATTGACAAATATCAGAGGGAAAGGATGATACTTGGTTTTCTGCAGTATTAAGGAGAGCAAAAGGGATTCCAATCCAATCTTTGGCGCAATGAGGGGTTATTTATACTAAAGATGGAAGGAGGAGAGCCATTGGATGAGGGGACACGTGTTGCCGGATCCTCAGGGCTCGTCCCATCCTAGGCGTCACTCTGTCCCTTCATAGGTCGACTGGCATTGAATGTTTTAGCCACAGGCTGCTGATTTGACCGTTTGAGAACCTGCCGCACGTCCCGTCAGTCAGGGATTTGACTTTGGGAAGATTTTTGTACAAATGATCTTTGTAGAGGCGAAGCGTGGCAGGTGAGACGTTGCAACGTTGTAGAAGCGGAGTGCGGGCCTTTGCATCCACTGCGTACTCGTGGATGAGTCCGGTTCGTTCGCTGACGCGTTTTCAGTTCGTTCCTAATGCAATCACCTCGGCATGTACAATCAGTT